AGAAGCTGGCCGAGGTGCTGAGCAGCCAGTACGGGCTGGTCGTGTTCGTGGCGGGGCTTCTGCTCCTGCTGGCCTGGGCCGTGCACGCCTCGGCGGTGGGCAAGAGCGACCTGCTCTGCTTCCTCACGGCGCTCATGCTGCTGCAGCTGCTCTGGATGCTGTGGTACGTGGGCCGCAGCGCCGCGCAGCGCCGCCTCATCCGCCCCAAGGACACGCACGCCGGCGCGCGCTGGCTCCGCGGTGAGTCCCCGGCCGCCGCCGCACCAGCCTCAGTCTCCCCGACGGCGTTTCCGGCTCTCCCCTCCTCCCCTCCTTCTCTCGGTGCCTTTGTTGAGCCTGGTCTGGTGCAGTAGCCTGCTCTCTCTGCCCTCGGGCTCTTGACACACATTCCATCCTAAGGGCTACAGCTCCACAAACCTGTTCGCATCTCCCCTTGGCTGCAAGTCCTGCAGCGGTTCCACCGACCCCCGACCCCCACGAGGGAGGCCACACGCCCTATCCTGGCCTTCCTGGCCTTCTAAGATCAGTCCCCAGAGGGCCTCTAGTTTTGTCCCCAACTTGGCCCTCGTTCTGTGCTCCAGTCTGAAAGGCTCTTAGTTCCCATCACAAGGTTTCCTATCTCCACGCCTTTGCATAGTCTGTTCCCTCTGGAAGTGCCTTCCCGTTGCCCTGCTTTCCAAGACAGGGCTCAGGCCTCATTCCCCGCCCCCCCCCACCCGTGATGCTTTTCTGATTCCCCCTGCACTCTGTGGTGCTGACCACACTCCTCCACCCCGCACCGTGCCCCCCTGGGTAGACAGCGTTCTTGTTGATACTTTTGTCCCCTCCCCCCGCCCCCCAGGGGAGCTCTGTGATGCTCCTCTCTTAGTCCTAGAGCCACCTGGGGTCTGCCCGTAGAGTAGATGCTTAGAGGACGCAAGAGCATGCAGTTGGGACCAATGGAGTCATGGAGAAGTGGATCAACACTGGGGCGGTGGAGGGTGGGGACTCCTTCCTACTAGCTGCAGACTGAAACGTTGTCAAGATGGAAGGTTCCCCTCCTCCAGGAGCTTCTGCTCTTCAAAGGGAGACAGACATGGTGGAGTCAAGGGGAGGAGGGAGTCGGGAGTGCGCGGTGGAGAAAGCGGCTGTCTCAGAGAAGTCCACCTCCCTCCGTGTGGACCAGACACATGGCACCTCTCTACCTGAATTCTCTTGAGGTCTGAATTTAACTCTCCCTTAGAGTGTAGCTTTCCTTGTCCTTGCATGACCTTGGGCACGTGACTCAATCTGCCCACCCTTTGAGTTTCAGCCGAGGGAGACTGACTGCTGGCTGGGTGCAGGCTGGGTGCCCACCCACATCCCTTCAAAGGTCTGGCACGGGGCCATCTTCCCTACCCCGCCTGGCAGGACCTACTCCTCACCCCCACAGGCTACCATGTCTCTCTCTGTGGAGAGTGTTTCACTCCTTGTCAACTCCCACCTTGTATCATGACTAATTGGATAGGAGCCTGGTCATCCGGATGAGATTTTAGGCTTCTTAGGCTCAGGGGCTGTGTCTAGTTCATCTTGCCTTTGGAAAAACTGGACACAACTCCAGGCTGGCCCAAATTCCTGTTCTGAAAGTGGTTGTTTTAGGGAGGTTCATGAATGGCGGGGAATCCGGCACCATATCAAACACCCACACAAACAAATAGGCATGAAATGTTTTGAGGATATTGATTTACACAGGCTGAAAAATATTACACACACAAGCTTTTGACCTATGCTTTCCTATAGTGGAAGGAACCCTTCTTTGTCCCTCCCTCACTTCCTTTCTCCTCCATCCTTCTTTCCTTCCGTCTTCCTCCCTCCTCCTCCATTCATTCCTTTCTCCCTCACTCCTCCCCATTCCCTTCTCCTTCAATCCTTGCCCCCTTCCCTTCTCCACCCCTCCCTCCCCTGCTCTTCCTCTCTCTCTCCCTCCTCTCTCTCCCTCTTTCCAGGAAGACTCCAAGCATTGGGATCTGAGTCAGTGGGTGAATGGTGGTGCCATTTCCCAAGATTAGGAAGACAGAAGGAGGAGCAGGGGTGGGGATGCAGAATCAAGTTTCCTCTCGTGGGCATGTTACTTTTGAGATGTCTATTGGACACCAAGTAGTGATAGAATGAATGTGGTAATAGAGAGCACATAGTGGGTGTTCAGTAAATGGTGGTGGTTTAAGCAATCATGATAACATAACCATTCAAATGAGGTATGTGGATAATGGAAATAGTGCTGGCCCTGGCAGGTTTGGCTCCATGTTCCAGCTTGAGGACCTTCACCTTCAGAGTCCCTGTTCCCTCATCAGTAAAATGAGAACCCCGGTCACTTTTTAGGGAAGAGGTGGGAGCTGCATCACGTGAACACAGTTCCAGAGGCTAATTGTCCTGAGAGGAAAGAACGTTGGGGTGCCAAAGGCGGTGTTTTAGTCCCAGCCCCCGCCAGGGCTGAGGTTTTCCTGGAAGCATAGCCGGGAAGACAGGTTTGACTTAGCTCTGCCCTGGCTTCTGTGACAGCCTTAGAAGTCTGGGGCTCTGAGAAAGAGCCAGGCTGTGGAATTCGGGGCACCAACATTTTCCAGAGAAAGTTTTTGGGTCTTGGTATGGGCTGTGAGGCATTGCTTTGAGCAGAGAACATTCTGTTCCACCTGCTGGGTATGAGAAAGTGAAAACTTCCTTTGGAACAAAAAACATTGCCCTATTAAAATTTTTAGTGGAAATGATGGATTATTAATTCAGCTCCTCTATTTGCTAAGTAAAGAGATTGATTTTTTTTTGTTTTTTTGGAAGGAGCAACAGCATCCTGGCTATCTCGTGCCAGCCCAGTGGGTGCAGTGACAGGCAAGCCCATTGCATAGCTAGTTCATCTGGTGAATTACCAGGGTCCTGTTTCTGGTCTGTTTCTAGTCCCTTAAAAGACTGCAGTGGCTTATGTACCAGTGATAGGATTTTGTTGTTACTACTGTTCTGTCTCAAGCCCAGGGAAGTGTTTTTAACACAAACTTGTGGGAACAATGCCAATAAGGAAAATAGCTGTGTTTATTGAGTGACTTCGGGATGCACGTACGTTAGAAGTGTTGTCACAATTATTTGTCACAGTGATTCTTTTCTTTTAAATGCTTGTGACTAATCACCCCCCAATTTACTCCTTTTATAAGATCAGATTTTTACAGAATACTTTTCTCTTAGAATGAGACATACCCATGTATATGATACATTACATCTCTATCTAGCATCCCACCCATGGAAATGGGCTGCTCACAGCACTATGCTTATTGTCCCTTAAGGGACTGGAAGTAAAGGGGCAGAGGTGAGCTGCTTACATAAGACCAGCGTACGGGTGATGGTTGTACGGACTGTAGATATAAAGGTCCGGAACATGATGATGGGCTTGGGAAAGAGGCTGTCCCCACCTGTGAGTAAGTGAAGGTCGATAAAAGATATGGGTCCGTGTGTGTGTGTGTGTGTGTGTGTGTGTGTGTGTGTGTGTGTGTGTGTGTGTGAAGAGGGCAGAGAGCAACAGAGGGGGACGAGGGAAGGGGCAAAGGCTGCAGGACATAAAGATGCAACAGTTTGGGCACTCAGGGGGCCCACAGTCTGCAAGTGCAGCCAGAACTCCCGAGAAACCACCAGGGATGATGCCAGGATCACAGAACCCTGGATGCTGTCAGGGGCAGCACCTGGCGAGAGGCAGAGGAGGGACCTGTCGGGTGGGTCCCGGGGGATCCCAGCCCACCCTGCTGACTTTGCGGCAGGTGCAAGCTCATGAACATTGGTCTGGGCTTTACTTTGCTCTCCCTGCTCAGAACGCATGTTCACCTTAATTTCACAGCCTCATTCTTCTGCAGACATAGCATCTCCCACACACTCCTTGTTTCTCGGGGCTTCTGTCTCTGCCACAGGGATAGCAAGCCCCACATCAGTGTGTCCCAGACATTCTTCCTTCTTCTTTTTTAAAATAGCTTTATTGAGATAAAGTCCACATGTTCTGCAATTCACCCATTTGAAGTGCAGGAGTCAATTGTTTGTAGTATATTCACAGATAAATGCAACCACCCCCTCAGTCAGTTGGAGAACACTTTTACCATCTCAAAGAGAAGCCCCGTCCCCTTTAGCTGTCATCCCCTAAACCTCTAACTCCCCACTGACCCTCGGGAATCACTAGTCCACTTACTGTCTCTGGATTTGCCCAGTCCGGACATTTCCACTGGAGGGAATCATGTGATCTGTCATCTGTGTGACCGGCTTCTTTCACTCAGCAGGTTTCAATATCACATGTTTTCAACTTCACAGCGACTCTTGAGGTGGGTGTCATCACCCCCACTTACCAGACCGGGAAGCTGGGTTTCAGGAGGAGGGCTGAGCTTCCTATCACTGGAAATGTTTGGACAGAGTGAGAAAGAAGAGGGCTGAGCTCCTTGCTTCAGGGCAGATGGCATGGTATCAACAGGTGTCAGAGAAGGCAAAAGTCTGCTTCCTTTTTGCTTTCTGTCTTCTTCATCGAGCAGAAGGATCTTGGGAACTAGCAGAGAGCAACAGAGAAGAGAGCCAGGTGCACAGCATGGAAACTTTTGTGGTGATTGGGCAGAACTGTTGATCTGGTTTTGTTTGACAGCCTGGACAAAGCTCCCAGGACTAGCTGGGCTCTGGGGATGGCAGGACGATTAGGCGTGGCCCTGCACGGAGGGATGCGGGGGCGGCTGAGGATGATGTGGACAGTGAGGGGCAGCAGAGCATGATGGCCAAGAGCATGCCCCCACACTGGGCATGTAGCTCTACTTCTGCCTCTGTTTTCTGGTCTGTAAAATGGGGACGATGATACCACCGATCACATAGGGTTGTTAGGAGACACAGTGAGTTAGTACATATAAAATGCTTAGAAGCCTCTGGCACATAGTAAGAGACATGTCTTATTATGAAATAAATGATTCAGCATTATGATGGGCAAGTGCAGGGGCAAGTGCAGGGGATAGGTGGGGGGGGGTCCCCAGAGGAAGATCTTTTGTTTTCTTTGGAGTCCGGGAAAAAAAAAAACAACTTAAAAATCATTAAGAAATGCAAAAAGAATACACAGAATACACGAACTGCGCGTGAGAGTGACAGCCAGTGAAGTTCTGGAAGAGATCAACATTCAGGAGTTTTTAAGCAATTTCCTCGGGAAGGAGAGCAGCGATCCCCAAGACCCAGCCTGGGGTCACTGTGAGGGACTCTTGCCTAACTGCATGCTTTTTCTTACGTAT